TTCCATTTCCAGGTTTTTCCTTTTCCTATTTTGTATGGATTTCTCTCTACCCGTGTACGATTCCAGATTTTTCTAAATTCAAAATGTTTTTTTTTTCTTCTTTGCCGCGAATTTAACTGCGCCATTTCTCTCCAGAATTTAGTACTGGGCCTGTTCAAATGGAGAAGCTGAGGTTTCCTGTTGGGCTTTCTAAGCCCAATTTTATTTTTCAAATTCAAACGTAAAGCCCGATTTGTCTTTCCGACATCTTATTTTCTGTTTTTCTACGTTAATAACATTAATTAATTAATGGATTATCTATGTTACAGTTCGGATTGCAGCATATTATAAAATTAAGATCTTTAAATGAGAGGAATATCTAATATTAAAGGTTTTTTTATTAATTTAAATATTATTATTTTATAATTCAATATGATCTGAATTGTAAAATAATTTTTTTAGTTAATTAACAAAGTTTTATGTGATAAATAGTGGGGAAGATCGATTATCAATAAAACAGGGGAGTGAAGATCATAATATTGTTCTCTTTATACTAAAAAAAAAGAGACCCTCTTAAAGTGATATAGATCATAACTAAATAAGTATATCAATGAAATAATAGCAAGAAAGATCATTTCATCCAGATAGACGAAACAAAAGAGCATCTACTTGTCATCTTCTTTTACAAACATTTCTATCATCTTACAAGTTTCAAACCCTATCTGCTAATGAAATCCACCCTCAGTTAAAAATGGGAAAAAGTTTGTAAGACATCATTTTTTTTTGTTCAATAACTCAAACGATCAGACCATCGGAGAAAACAACATTACAAAAATTAATTTACATATTCCCTGTCCTTCCCCCCCTCCCTTCTTTTTTGTAATTAATAATATGTTTTTTTTTTTTTCCCAAAACACACTTTAACTGCTCTATATGATACTAGTAAAAATTAGTAATAATTTCCCTTTTGTTAATTTACTAGCTTCCACGGTCAATCATTCCCTTTTACTGATTAAGCGATTCCTGCCTCTGCAACCTCATCTCCTCGTTGAACTTCTTTATAAATGCCTCCACTCGCCGATTCAACTCGTCCTGACTCAGCGACGGCTCCTTTCTCAGCTTCAGTACTGAAGCCGGGGAGGAGCTCACTTGCGCTGCTGACAGCTGGAAATTGGTCCGGTCCTTGAACGTTTCCGATTTCTTCACCACCGGCGACGGCTCAGCCAGCGAATCCACGATCACCTGATTCTCCCATGTGTCCTTAAAAGTCTCTGATTTCTTCAGGTGCCTAGACAACGGCATTGCCTTCTTCTCCGTAATCATTTTCCACGTGCTCTCCATCGTCCCTTGCCGTTTCGGCTTCTCGACTCTCAGCGATCGACCACCTAGTTAACAACAAATAGAATATACAGAAAGAATTATTAACGAAATTAACATTTTGTCAATCTTGTTTCTGAAATTTAAACATGCAGGAGAAGGATATTTTGGACTTTCGAGCAGTGCATCAAGCAGACGCCATTGTTGTATGTTTTGAGCAAGAAAATAACGTTTCTTGTGAAGAACACAAAAGTCAAAAGCGCCGCCAGAGGAATCTCACCAACGACGACCGAAAAGCCTTTAGAGTCCTCTTTTTTTTCTCTCATCAGGGATTTTCACGTCTAGTTTCTCCTCTGGCCCCTCGATTTCGTTTTTGTCCTTAGCCGACCTTATTCCTTCGTTTTCATCTCGGATTTGCACCACCATGTGCGACGGCAGCTCTAGGGCTTAAGCGTCTGGGGAAGTGAATCTCTGTTTCCTAATTTTCGATCAGATCAGTATCTCTACCTTTCTGAGAAGGTTTAGGGCTTTTCTTTTTTTCTGCTCTCATGTCGATCTCGAAAGAACTTTACCCATCTCAAGAGTACCTCCCCTACGAGGAGGAGATCTTACGCAACCCTTTTAGTCTGAAGTTGTGGTGGCGTTATCTGATTGCTAAGTCAGAAGCTCCCTTCAGTAACCGTTTCATAATCTATGAACGCGCACTTAAAGCTCTTCCTGGTAGCTACAAGCTATAGCATGCGTATCTGCGAGAACGCCTTGAAATTGTTAGAAATCTACCCGTTACTCACCGCAAGTATGACACCCTTAACAATACGTTTGAAAGAGCTCTTGTTACAATGCACAAGATGCCCAGGATATGGATAATGTACTTGCAGACCCTGACAGAACAGAAGTTGATTACTAGAACGCGTATGACTTTTGACAGGGCTCTCTGTGCGTTGCCAGTGACTCAGCATGACAGGATTTGGGAGCCTTATTTGGTATTTGTGAGCCAGAAAGGTATCCCTATTGAGACCTCACTGAGGGTTTATAGGAGGTACTTGAAGTATGATCCTTCTCACATTGAAGATTTCATTGAGTTTTTGGTGAATTCAAGTCTGTGGCAAGAGGCCGCGGAGAGGTTAGCTTCTGTTTTGAATGATGATACCTTTTATTCAATAAAAGGTAAGACGAAACACAGACTGTGGTTGGAGTTGTGTGACCTGCTTACAACGCATAAGATGGAGGTTTCGGGGCTCAATGTGGATGCAATAATTAGAGGTGGAATACGGAAGTTTACAGATGAGGTAGGAAGGCTATGGACTTCACTTGCTGATTATTACATTAGGAGAAGTTTGTTTGAGAAGGCTAGAGATATTTTTGAGGAGGGTATGACAACAGTAGTAACTGTGAGGGACTTTAGTGTAATATTTGA